AGAGTGAGGCTTTCTCTCAAAAAAAAATTTTTTTTAATGGTTGATAGTACATACAATGCAATTGTTTACTGATATTTGTTTTTTAAGAGATAAGGTCTTGTTCTGTTGCCCAGGCTAGCCTTGAACTCCAGATCTTAAGTGATCCTCCCCACCTCAGCCTCCTGAGTAGCTGCGACTACAGGTGTGAGCCACCGAGTTTGGCTCATATTGATGTTTATCTTGCAGCCCAGCTAAGTTATTATTTCTAGGGTTTTTGGTTTGTTTTTGAGACTCCTTCAAAGCCTTATGTCCTTTTTTTCCTCAAACTAGTAAGGGTTAAATTTTTTCTTGTTCTTGTCTTACTGCCTCAGTTACGACTTCCAGTACAATTGCGAATACAGGTGGTGAAAGCAGACATCTTTGTCTAGCTCCTGATGATAGGGGGAAAGTGTTTCATCTATCATGATTATACATATTAGCTGTAGATTTTTCATGGATGTTCCTTATCATGTTTAGGAAGTTACTTGTCTCTTCCTAATTTGGCAAGATTTTATCATAAATGGGTCCTCCAATTTGTCCAATAATTTTTCTATTCGTCCATTTTCACACTGCTATAAAGAACTACCTGAGAGTTGGTAATTTATAAAAAGAGGTTTAATTGACTCACAGTTCCACACAGCTGGAGAGGCCTGGGAAACTTACAATCATGGCGGAAGGCAAAGGAGAAGCAAGGCATATCTTACATAGCAATGAGAGAGACAGAGACAGAGAGGAGAGAGGGGAGAGAGGAAAGAGCGAGTGTGCATAAACGTGAAGGGGGATGTGCCACACTTTTAAACCACCAGATCTATTGAGAAATATTATGAGAACAGCATGGAGGAAACTGCCCCCATGATCCAGTCACCTCCCACCAGTTCCCTACCCTGGCATGTGGGGATTAAAATTCCACATGAAGTTTGGGGGACACACCACATCAGTGTCTATTGGCACAATCCTATGGGGTTTTTTCCCCTTTATTCTGTTAGTGTAGTATATTATGTGATTTTCTGATATTAAAGCAATCTTTTATTTATGGGATAAACTCTACTTGTTTATATCCTTTTTTTATGTTGGGAAGTTTGGTTTTGTTTTTTTAATGCTAATTCATTTGATGGTTATTTGATAAATCCTTTCTTTATGGTGTCAGAGACATTTAAGTACTAATTACAATTCCAAAATAGTTGCCCGAATTACTTTACTGAAATTAAAATTTTCTTTATGACCTATACACTCATTTACATGGGTTTTCTTCAGTTCTGTGCTTGTTATGTGCCACACGCTGTTAGGTGTTGAAGATACAGATAGGATAGAATAAGCCCTTGTCCTCCCAGAAGTGAAGACAACCAAAATAACTAATAGTTTGGTGTTAGGTAATATGAGGTGCATTTGAAATTTAAACAAAAGGAACCAAGGTAGTAGAATTTTTGTTAAAGCCTCTAGAGGAAGTCACAAGAAGTGTAAATTGAACTTAACCAGAGTTACCATATCATTTACCATCCAAACAGGCACACTTTTGATAGTGATAGTGAAAACAAGCATAAAATAGGATGTATGGTTACCTAAGATTTAACCAATCCATGGGGAACGGTGCTTAAGGCAGAAAAAACTGAAAAGAGGTAAGGCCCATTAAAGTAACTCAAACATTCAATTTGGTCAGTTTATAAACTGTGAAAAAGGAAATTAGTCCAGAAAAGCAAGCAAAGACCATATTCAAAAGGCCTTATAAATCAGAAAATAACATGGATTTTATTTCAAAGGTAATAAATGTTCTAAACAAAAGCATGACATAATATTTTATGGAGAGAAATCTGATTGCAGTCTGGAGAAAGCGTGAGCAAAGAACTGCATCTACAGAGATCATCTGGGGAGGGAACGGACAGTGGCATGGGTTTTGGGGTCATGAAAATGTTACACAATGGATTGATAGGTGGGCAACTCTGTGAATACTCTAAAGATCATGGATGGTACTTGTTAAATGGGTGAAGAGTATGGAATGTGAATTACAGTTCAATAATGCAGTTAACTTTGAAAAAGAGATTGCTTGGAAATTTATGAAATTCTCCAGGTGACAAACGATAGGGGCTTGGTGAATGTGTTGGAAGTGAGGATGAATTCAAGAGATTTGAGAAGCTACCAGGCCTTATGACTGACAAAATTCATGGAGGTGAGGAAGAGGTCGAAGTTGACTTTCAAGTTTCTACCTTAGCAAGCCAGTGGTGGATGGTGCCACTTACTGAACCTGAACCACAGGCAGGTGTGGGTAGGGAAAGGCTAGAGGTTCTTCGGACATGTTGAATTTGAGACCCTTGAGACATCCAAGGTGGATATCCAAGGCAGACTCTCAGGTAATGGTCTGGGCTGAAGAGTATCAACATGAGTTACTTAAGTGAACAGGACTGCCTAGTGCATGAGTGAATAAAGAACACCAAGATCTGACACAGAAGTGAGATCAGCAAGAGGCTGAGAAAACCCAAATATAGGAAGAAAACCAGAGAAGCATAACTTCAGAAGTCCAGTTCAGAGTGTTTCACACTAAGCGTTCAGTGTGCATTACGATCATGTGTCAATGAGACAAGTAGCCTCTGAACTTTAAAGATTTATGTTTCAATTTCAGCAGAATGATAGTTGCACAAACCGCTCTCACCTGGATTCAGTGGTAACGTGGTTCATCAGAAGACAAGGCATGGAACAAGGTTTGTGAAGGGGAGAAGAGGGAAAAGTTGAGGTGAGAAAGATCTTTTTAAAAATGGTTTGGCTGTTTTTCCTTTAGAGAGGTTAAAGATATTGAAGAAATAGGCAGGCAGCATAAAAATCAGCTAGGAATAATTGCTTAAAAATTAAGGCTGGGAGTGATGGCTGCTGCCTGAAATCCCAGCACTTTGGGAGGCTAAGGTGGGCAGATCACTTGAGGCAGCCAGGAGTTGAAGAGCAGCCTGGGCAATATGGAAAGACCGCGTCTCTACTAAAAATACAAAAAAAAATTAGCTGGGCGTGGTGGCACTTGCCTGTAGTCCCAGCTACTCAGGAGGCTGAGGCACAAGTATCATTTGAAGCTTGGTGGTGAAGGCTGCAGTGAGCCAAGATTGTGCCGCTCCAGCCTAGGCAACAAGTGAGACTGTCTCAAAAAATAAATAAAAAGGTTTGGAAGCCAGTGGAATCAGCAAAATTTCTAATGTTGGCAAGAATGAAATATTTAATACAGATGCTTACATTTCTAATCTGATAGACGAAGAGTACGGATGGTGATGATTTCATAAACCTGGAAGTTTCAAATTAAGAGTGAACAAACTTGCTAATGTTGAGGCCCTGGTTGAAGGTGGTAATCACAAATTATATGGTGGCAGCAATCTGCCATCATGCAGTTTTCTGTAGCAGGGCTCAGCAACCCACGTATAAAAAAAGGTAAGGAAAAGGCTGGGCACAGGGGGCAGGGGGTAACACCTGTAATCCCAGAACTTTAGGAGGCTGAGGCAGGCGATCACTTGAGGTCACATGTTTTCAGACCAGCCTGGCCAACATGGTAAGACCCTGTCTACTAAAAATAGGAAAATTAGCTGGGTGTAGTGGCGGGCCCCTATAACCCTAGCTACTGTAGAGGCTGGGGCAGGAGACTTGCTTGATCCAGGTGGTGAAAGTTGCAGTGAGGTGAGATCATGCCACTGCACTACAGCCTGGGTGACAGAGTAAGACCACACCTCCAAAAAAAAAAAAAAAAAAGAAAAAAGGAAGATAGAGTTGAATTCACCTAAGGCTCAGATTTTGTCAGGTAACGACAATAGGGCAAAGGAGTTTAGGATATTGACATGATAGTGGCAGAAGTATTATGGCAGATCTAAGCTGGATGGAGAGGTAGGCGAAAAGGTGACTAACAGTACTACTAATGAGAATAAAGAATTTGGCATACTGGATTTAACTCTCAAACTTTCCGAAGCCCTTTGTATTTATCTGCTTTCATCCAACAGTTTTATCACCAACTATACAGTGTGCTGGGCTACACTGCAGGGGAATGCAACCGTAAATAACAAAATTAACACTGGTCATTTTGTAGAAAAGCATGAAGATCAATGATATTCGTTTATTTTATTTTTTAGAGACAAGGTCTCAGTCTGTCACCCACGCTGGAGTGCAGTGGCACAATCAAGGCTCACTGTAGCCTTGACCTTCCAGAGTTAAGTGATTCTCCCACCGCAGCCTCCCTAGTAGCTGGGACTACACACCACCATGCCCAGCTAATTATTTTTTTGGTAGAGATGGATGCGGTCTCCTTATGTTGCCCAGGCTGGTCTCGACCTCCTGGGCTCAAACAATCCTCCCACTTGGTCCTCCCAAAGTGCTGGGATTATAGGCATAAGCCACCAAACCTGGACAAAACTAATATTCAACAGAATGACTACTACAATTAATAAGATCTAGGTACAAGGTACTAAGAACATGAGAAAGGATACTTTTCACCTCACAGAAAGATGTAGTTATCAGGAAACATTCTTTAAGAACTTCCTTAAATAGCTCTTGAGACAGCCGCAGGTAAAGTTCAGATGAAAAGACCATTCTGAGTAGCGTGCATAGCATCAAAAAGCATAGCAAAAGCCTCATCAGAAGATAAGGCTTATGGAAAAACAATCCAAGATAGGGCAGTAAAGATAATTTAAAGCCAAATTAGAAAGAGCCTTAAATGTGGTAAGGAATCTGGACTTATTCAGTAGGCAGTGGAGAGGCAGTTCGTTTGCAAACATGATCAATGATGGGCCCTAAGAAGAAACCATTTTGTTAGGGGTGAGGTTCAGACATCATCTCAAGCTTCTATAGAGGATGATTAGAATCGAATGATTCTAATATGCCACCAGGTAGAAAGACACTATGCATATCTATCAAACAAAATTCTGAAGATACATATAGGTGGCTTACCTATAACTAGCGAAGCTGACCTAGTAAAGTCAAAATTTAAAAAGCAGACTATTTCCATAAGAAAAGAAAAATAGATATTGAATATATACAATTTATTTAATAAATTAATGTCATTCAAAATACAGTGCCAAAACATGATGCAGTTGAACATGCTAGTAATGTTTGTCATGAAGCACCTGTGCTCATGTTAGATTGGTGGCGCCCCACTACTGCTAGTGGTTCCTGGGATTAATGCCAGAGCAGCGCTAGTTATCTGCTCTTCTGCACAGTTAGTGCAGAGAATTCCTGAACAGTTCACCTTACTAATCCTAACTCCCACACGCACACAACAGGTTAAAAAAAACACACCCTGAACAGCTAACAGATCTATACACAATCACTCTACAGTAATGCTTGTTATTAAATTAAGATGTAATGACCTGGTTAACCCACTCTAAATCTTGAAGATGGAGAACTACATCAGCAGCAGGTAGTTATATGCATGAGCCAATGTTAACGTAATACAGAAAGTGGAGGCCTTTACTGAGTAAAGCTCCACGCAGACCCGCACGATGAAGGGCTGGCAATTCTTATTGCAAGCCCAGCAATATTAAGTCCACACCTGGTAAATGACCAGCTGACTGGAAGACCTGTATTGTAGATAGACAAGTATAAGTTAGTGAAAAGAATACATGCACCTAATAGTATAGACTGATCCTGCAGTCATGGCTTTCCCTGTGTAATACCATAAAACAATGGAAGATCTTCCTCAACTACAGTATAGGATTTAGACATTTCTATACCAACATGGACATTAGTGTTAAGTGCAGTTGAATTAATTACACTGAAAACTGTAAGCACGGGAATGAAATACACATACTAAAATAACCTCTGCACAATTTGTGATATACCACACTAGGAACAGGAAACTACTTTTATAAGTGAACTTTTTGAACTGTACATACACAGGGCTAACAATGTTAGATAATCCAGATTCTTATACTCTCATGATTACACATAAAGTTTCTCAATTATTGAATAATCTATTTCATATTATGGAAGCATATCTTTCTGTAAGACTCACCGATATATATTATACTGATGCAAATATTAAGAAGGGCATAAAAATAAAATTTATCAAAGATAGATTTTTATGTACTCATATTTAGTTATTTCATAGCCTCTTTTGTTTAGCAAAGAAAATGACAAAAGCACATAACTCAGGCGTGCACTCCCTGAACTTCTGAACTATACAGGTGGTAGTGCAACCATTTCTCCATCCAGTTCAAACTCTTCTGTACCATCTGTTGAAAAAAGATAAGTTGGTGGTTTCCACGGAGACTCTTCAAGGCAGGATGGATAGAGTTTCCCCACAGTGCATCGAAAATCTCTCCCTAAGTCCCACAGTACACGTTCAGATATATGCTGCCGCAGAGACCACCGGTCAAGTTCCAGGTCATATTGGTAGGTGACATATTTAGCTCGCTCATTTAAGTGGGTTTCTCGCATAAACACACAGAGAGAATTTGAGATCACAACAGCTCTAACACAGGGGTCAGAGTACCTCTTAGCAGGGATGTTGGCTGCCATTTTCCACTCATTTTTATTCACATCATAAATTTCCACAGTTACTGAAGACCCATCTACAGTGCCAGAGGGGAGTCTTATGCCAGAATTGGTAGCAATATGCAACCCTCCAATATAGAAAATTTTATCACCAAAGGCTGCAGCTGAAGCAAAGGACCTACTAGTCTGTCTCATGGCCATTTCTACCCATGAGTCAGACCTTGGAAAATAACAGTACATGAGGTTCAGTGTCATCACGTAAATGCAGTCATGAACCACAACTGCTGCACTCCATTGCCAAGCACAAGGTAAAGGGCTTACCATTGTCCACTCATCTTTCTCAGTGTCGTATCTTTCTACGGTCCTCCGATTAAGTTCTCCACCTACGCTATCTCCTCCAATTGCATAGATATAGCCTTCACAGCAAACCAAAGATGGCTTTATGCGAACAAAAAGCATTGGAGTCTTTGGAAACCAGGTATTTTGCTGTGCATCAAACCAGTAAAAGCAATTCACAGTTCTGAAGGCAGTCTGAAGTTTGCTGGTTTTACTGTGATTTGTTTTTGTGTTTTTCAGAGGAACCTGACCCCCTGCTATGTAGATATCATTATCAGGAGTTACAACTGTCCCAACCTTATGCAAATCAGCTGGTGGGCTACATAGCTTGTAAACTTTTTCTGCTTGGGGGCTGTAACAGACAGAAGAGTAAAGACTACAAGGATTTTCTGAAGATGCTTCAATGAAAATCATCATTTCCTCTTTAGTCATCCCAAGTCTTGGTTTGAAAAACTTGGGCATGGACTTATACAGACCTTGTACCACCACTGACTTATCATTGGGTGGCAGACCTTGAAACCAAGCTCTCTGTGTTACTTCTGAAAGTGCATCAATTCTGATTTGGCTAAGAACAGAAGACAAGTACTGGGATCGTGATTCTGTGTTATACTCTAGCCACAGCATAGCAGCTTCTCGAACGGTTTCTTCCTTTTCTACATTTAAATTGTCACTACTGAGAATGTCTATTAGTAGATCGTGTGACAGCTGCATGAATGCTTCCTGATGATACACAGCAGTGAACTTGTGTTCAACCATTCTTTTAGCACTCTGTTTTAATTCCTCACAACTGAAGAGATCGGCAAAACTCAACAATCGCACACAATTCTCTGCATTTATTTTTTTAATTAAATATTCTCGACAACGTTGTAACACATCTTCTACCTGCAATGAGAAAGAAAAAAAAAAAAAAAACCAGGCTGATAGGGCCAGGATAGACACATTTTACTTTTATGTAAGACCTAAGTATATTAATCAGATCCCCATAGTGTAATTTTTAGTTTCAGATACACATATCTAAGCTAATAGATAAGGTCTTCTGGTAGTAATAAAATCAGAAGACTGTAATTTTGCAGTAATTTTTCCTACTCAGTGGCCTACTTAACTGTTCTATTTAGGAACCAGTAGTATAACAATACATAGGCTCTTAAAAAACAAAATAGCCTTAAGGAATATGTAAGGAAATTTACACATAAGTCATGCTTTTCTAGGCTTTATATATAATTGAGAAAAATATAAGAAAAAATGTAAATAAATAATAGTACAGAGAAAATTATTATTGAATAGCTGGATTCTGGTTTCCTCAACTTGGACAAGATAGTCACATAAAACCAGAAAATCATGCAAGTGAGTAAGAGTAGTTATTTGCTATTCTTATTTAGAAAGGTAAGATAACAAATCAAAGGAACACAAATAGACTTATGTGGAGTTATAAATTACCTAGATTTAAATGATCCATCTTAGCCACTGTAAGCTTCTTAGATTTGTTTTTTCTTAAGAAGGTAGATCTCAGTTGAATCAGATGCGCTACCTAGTATATTTATTCAACATCATAGTGATTAACTAGAAGCTGCTGACACTGAGAAGGCAGGCTGCTTGGATTTGAAACTTGAATTGGTCAGTTAGTACCTGGAAACTAGCTATTAGGCAAGAAGCTTCCTGTCTCTAAACTTCAGTTTTCTCTTCTATAAAATGGGGAAATAACAGTTATCTACCTAAAATGAGCACTGTAAGGATCAGATGAGAATCTATAAAGTATTAGTACAGCATCTGGTACAGAAGCACATGTTTCACTTCATGTGGTTAACAGTGAAAGTCATATTGGTAGTCACAGAACACCTCATCTCAGGCTTGCCAGGGCAACACCGTCAAAGAAGCAGAGTCTTGTTTTGCATTTGAGCAAGTAGATGTATACATTTTCATTAAAATGACAGAAAGGAACAGTGTCAATATTTACAGTAACAAAGTGTTCTGGAATCTAATTTTCTTAAAATTCCTTAATGCCTTAGTAATTCTGAGAAATGTCTGCTTTTAAAAGAAGGACCAACAAAAAATTAGCTGCGTGTGCTGGTGCATGCCTGTAATCCAAGCACTTTGGAAGCCAAAGGGAGGAGGATCTTTTGAGCCCTGCAATTTGAGGCTGCAGTGAGATATGACCATGGAACTGCACTCCAGCCTGGGCAACAGAACAAGACACTGTCTCTAAAAATAAAAGTAATGAAAACTTGTAAGCTATAGAAAGACAGTGCTTACAGTAAGCATTTCTCCCGTTCAAGTTTGGAATTACTAGCGCAGGGTACAGCAGGACACTAACAATTTTATACGGAAAAGGAACAAAGGTTGGCCAGGTGCAGTGACTCACACCTGTAATCCTAGCACTTTGGGAGGCCCAGGTGAGAGGACTGCCTGAACTCAGGAGTTGGAGACTAGCCTGGCAACATAAGGAGACCTCGTCTCTACAAAATATCAAAAAATTAGCCAAGTGTGGCAATGCATGTCTATAGGCCCAGCTACTCAGGAAGCTGAGGCTGGGGGACAACTTGAACCCAGAAATCAAGGCTGCAGTGAGCTATGATCTCACCACTGTGCTGCTGCCTGGGCAACAGAGCGAGACCCTGTCACACACACACAAAAAAGAAGTAAAAGTTGAGTATCCCTAATTCAGAAATTCAAAATCCAAAATGCTCCAAAATCTGAAATGTTTTGAGCACTGACATGACACTCAAAGGAAATATTCACTGGAGCACTTCAGAGTCTAGATTTTAGATTAGGGATGCTGAGCTGGTAAATATAATGCAAATATCCCAAAATTTGAAAAAATCTGAAATCCAAAACTGGTTGAACAGGACTTCTGGTCCCATGCATTTTGGATAAAGGGTGCTCAACCTATGGAAGATTAAAAAGGAAGGAAACTACATAAAGCATGAACTGAGTTCTGGTTTCCAGAATCACACCCAGGTGTTGGCATTCAACCAGTGTCATGCATATTCGTTCAGTGCATATTTATCAAGCACTTAATAAGATATCATTAATAGTGCTCCAAATTTAACCTTTCGTCTAAAGGTTCTCTCTTTGAAGACACTTTGTGAAATACACTGTTATTCCAAAACGGGATGAAATGACAAAACTCTTACATTTCTCTTAAAATTTAAAAAGGGAACATGATGGGGAAATAAAGAGTAAAACAGTTTGTCATGCATAAATATATCAACCATCATTTGTTTTATTTTGTTTAAATATGTCTCCTTAATTGCTCAATATGGTGACATAGCCATTATAAATATTCATCATAATTTCTGGCTGGGAACTGTGGCTCATGCCTGTAATCCAGGCACTTTGGGAGGCTGAGGCAGGTGGATCACAAGGTTAGGAGCTCAAGACCAGCCTGGCCAACATAGCGAAACCCCATCTCTACTAAAAATACATAATTAGCCAGGCACGGGGGTGCATGCCTATAATCTCAGCTACTTGGGAAGCTGAGGCAGGAGAACTGCTTGAACTCGAGAGGCGGAGGTTGTGGTGAGCCGAGATTGTGCCACTGCACTCCAGCCTGGGCGACAGAGAAGACTCCATCTCAAAAAAAAAAAAAAAAAAAAAAAAAAA